AGAGTTGTATAACCATGACCACAACCGCTTTAGAGCATTTCCTCACCCCCAAAGGAAACTCTCATTTCCCAGCCCTAAGCAACCATGGATCCTGTCTCTATAACGGATGTTTCACACGGAGGGGGTCATACTATAGGTGGTATTTCTTGATTGGCTTCTTGCTTTTAATGTAACGTTTTCAAGGTTTGCCATATTGTAGCATGTGTTGCTGCTTCATCTAGTTTTATAGCCACGTGGGCACCCCGTTGAATGGATATACCATGTTTTGTGCATTTTTTGGCCAACGTGACTGATGCTGCTGTTACCAAGTTTTTATGTAGACATATGTTTTCATTTCGACTAGATACATACCGAGTAGAATTTCTGGGTCATATGGTAACTGTAAGCTTAACCTTTTCTTTTTCTGCGGTACTGGGGACTGAGCCCAGGACCTCACACATGCTAGGCGAGAGCAGCCCGATGAGCAACACCACAGCCCCGTGATTGCCCTGTGCAGTTCCACCAAGCGGTTCCAGAAGGATCGTGTACGAGCATTCCAATGCCCCCGCGTCCTTGGTGAAACCTGCTCATGTGGCCTTTCTGATGACAGCTACTCTAAGTTTTTTGTACCTTGTAACAACATCAGAATTGGCTGCTGAAAGGCACTGGACTAGAAAAATATTCACTTGGTAGAAAAGCTAATTATATGAGAATGATACTTAACAGAGAGATGCTACTTGGGTTTGTGTCACACTTCTTAATTTTTCAGTCTATTGCAAAGGATTAAAGCCCACTTGGAGAGTTAACTGCACCCCAGCCAAGTGTCATCAGAAGCAGAAGTCCTGTGTGGCAGTCAGGGTTCTGGGGCGCAGGCCCGGGGTGCAATGTGGGGGAACAGCAGCTGGTAGGAGGGGCTCCTGCAGGGCTCTCTGAGGCTGGGTCAGTGCCGAGCCCAAGTGTGTCCTAAATACAAGAGCGGTCATTGTTTTAAATTTGACATCATGCTGGGCATAGTAACACATGCCTGTAATCCCAGCACTTGGAGGCTGAGGCAGGAGGATCACTGTGAGTTTGAGGCCAGCCTGGGCTGAATAGTGAATTCAAGGCCATCATGGACTTCAGAGCAAGACTCTGTCTCAAAAGACCAAATAATAAAAATAAACTCACCATTGGAAACACTGGATGCCGAGGTAGCAGCACAAGTTATCGCTACCCCAGTTCTTCCTGGGCCTGGTCTTCGTTGGCTTGAACGTTTCTCCGTGTCTGGCGTGGGGGCCGATCCATGTGGCGCAGCGTCACTGTGAGCTTCGTGGGCATTCCCTAAAGCCAAACCCCCGATGGGAGGGGTTTCCGGCGGTGGCTTTGGCCCCGTGGAGACCCGTCCAAGATTATCTGGAGAGAGCAGAGCTGATGCAAAGCAGACGGAGCTTCCCTGGCCAGGGGTGCATCCCAGGCCCCGCGAGCGAAGGCAGGGGCATCGCCGCTCGCTCATCTGTCTTCCAAGGTCAAGCCCCGTGTTGACCCTGCCAACGTGCAGGGCCTGCTCCCTTGAGACCAGCCTGCCTGGCCGAGCGAGCTCTATTCCCACAGCCCAGTGGCCAGTGTGCTGGAATCCCACAGAAATCCCCCTTTCCACTGGGGACCGTGCTGTGGAGACCTCGAGATTCCATTGTCATAGAGGGATGGTGGGGACCCAAGGCATGTACTGCAACACACAAACCAGGAAGGAGGAGGAGTGTGCTGAGCGGAGGACCAGGCTCGGAGTCAGGGCCGCTGTGCTCGTCCTCTTCTGTCTCTCACCGGCTGTGTGACCTCCGCGCAGTCGCCAGCCTCGCTGAGCATCTGCTTCATTCTGGAAGGCCCGGTTAGATGACAGCTGCAGAAGGCACCGCCCCCAGCCTTGTTCTCCAGCGAGACCGCTGCTGAGCGCAGACGCTGCGGCCGGTGCTGTGCGCCTGGCCCAGTCTGCACGCTTGCTGTGGATGCTGCTGCTTTTCGCTGACTTCTGCGGTTTATGAGGTTACGTCTAGTTTTTATTTGACCCTCCCACAGTTCTTAATGTCGCAGGTCACACGCTGAGGTTCGGAGAGAGGAAGGGACTTGCCCAGGGCCACACAGTTACAAAGCAGGGAGCCCTGCTGGTTTTGTGTGTGTGTGTGTGTGTGTGTGTGTGTGTGTGTGTCCCTGCTGTTTTGCGCACATCGCATGATGCGTCGATTTATCTGGGGTCCGTGGGGGAAGCAGCGTGTGGATTTCAGGAGCAGATCCCTAAGTGCACCGGGAGAGGGGCCCAGGCCGTGCTGGCCCCATTGGTGGCCGCAGCTGGCGCCGTCCCCCAGCCCAGTGTCCAGCTGGCCGCCCTCCTCCGTGCCAGCGTCGGGGCCAAGTCCCCACTCCAGAGCTGCTCCTGGCACCTCTTCTCTGAGGGCAGCATGTGCTCCACCCCCTCGGCGGCTCCTGCCCACAGCTGTCACCCCTTCTGCCAGTGCACCAGTGCCTGGGAACAGGCCACGTCCCGTTCTGCACCCACGACCCCACGCAGGGACAGTGGCTGAAGTCAGGAGAGGACGTCAGGCCATGGCAGGGAGTTCCTGTTAGGAATGGAACCTAGAGCCTGAGGCAGGAGCCGCGGGGTGGGTGACAGCGGGACAGGTGGGAAAGTGCAGGTGCTGGGGTGCTGTTCTGTGCTTCTGCTGACTTTTAAACTCTGTGTGTGTGTGTGTGTGTGTGTGTGTGTGAGTGCACCCAAGCTACTGGAGGTTGAGTCCAGTTTCTTCACACTGACCTACTACACTTCAAGATTTTTTTATTGTTTATTTTGAGACAGAGTCTCACTAAATCATCCGAGCAGGGCTCCAGCTTGGCATCCTCCTGCCTCAGCCTCCCAGACTGCTGGGGTCACAGGCGTGCCCCAGCAGCCCCAGCTGAGTCATCACTTTCTTGTTTGCCCTGTGTCCGAGGCCTGCCGCCCACATTTGTCACTCTTCCCGTTCTCCTGAAATCTGGCGGGCGCTGGTGTCAGCCAACTCCCTTTCAGCCCTCCCCGCCCCGCCCTGGGCTCTGCCCGAGGCTGAGGCTCTGCCCCCTGCAGCACTGCTCTGGGCGATCTCCACCCCAGCTCCCCTCCACTGCCCTCCAGGCCTTGGCGCCCCTCAGGACGGAAACCCTTTCCCTGTGCCTGCCGGGCTCCCCGAGGGTCACGGCCCAGCCAATCCTCCTCTCAGGCTGTTGCGGCTGACCCTCAGGAGGGAACCTCCAGCAAATCCCGCCCTCACTCACACCCGAGTGAACTACGTACTCCTTGTACAACTGAGACCGGTCCTGGAAAGGCGTCCTCCGAGGTGAGATGGTTGCGGAGACGGAACATGCACTGTGCTAATAAAACATGGGCACCGGCAGATCACGCAGCTGTACCCAGGGCGTCTGCAGCTCGGGGACCGACGGGCACCATTGCCTCTACTCCGCTCCGGCAGTGAGCAGCACGATGCAGAGGCCCTGGTTACTGGGACCCGCTGACGCCCCTCACCTCACCTGCGTGCTGGGGCAGAGACGCCGCCCAGCTGAGCCTCGCATGCCGTGGTCCTCTGCGCTCACGCGCTTGGCAGCAGAGCCCAGAGCTGACTGCGCCTGTGAGACCCAGCCTTGGTACCCTCTGCCCCGCTGCCAGTTAGCGGTCACATTGACCTAGTCATTCAGCATCTGAAATCTTTATCATTCATTTGTCTCAAATTTCTATTTCATTCCACTTCCCCCCAACAGAATTTCAGCCATATGTAAATCATTCTAACCCTGAAAGACTTTTGTGGGTTATGCTCTTCTATGTCTCTACCACAGAAACATTTTAAGAGATTAAAGTAGAAAGATTTAAAAATTTCTACCACCCCAAACCTCTAAAATTAAGCCTTTTCATCGGGATGAAGTGTTCATTACAGTTTCACAGTGCAGTGGTGCCTCGGTGCAAGAACTTAATCCTTACCATGATTCTGGCTCCCAAACCAAAGTGAACAAGAGCTGAGCCCAGTTCAGTGGTTAGGGTCAACGCTGACCTTTCGGGGAAGTCATTCGGTTCTCGTCTGGTTTGGTCTGCAACCAGAATCGCGGACAGAGTGGAGTTCATGAACCGAGGCACCGCGGTACCTTGCAGTACATAAGTAATTAATATGAAAACTATTATTGCCAGTGTTTGTAAATAATCTACAGTGATGACAAGCCGAAGATCAGGGCGCAGAGGGGCCTTTGTCATCTCTGGCTCAGTGGGGGCCGTAGCTTGGTGGTGGGCGCTGGCCTGGCGCCAGGAAAAAGAAGCAGCAACAAGCGGGCCCTAAACATCCCTTGCTGTCCTCAGGGGCACGTGACCGACAGCATTTCTGCAGGGACCGGGCGGGCTTTCCCTCGAAGGCAGGCACCGGGAGGTCTCACACAGGCCTAAGAACAGAGCCAGGAAATGTCATCCAGTACTTTGAGCTGTTTCCAAAATATGTGCTAAGAAAGCGCTACTACCAGTATTGAAATGTTTCAAATTCTTCTGTTGGCCAACAGCTAGAGTGTTTCTTTTAATCTTGCAAAAGGACCTGTGCTTTGACTACAAGGATAATTTGATTTCTCAATTGCTAGGATCCAGACCCACAATTTTATGAAAGCTTCTCAGATGACTACTCATCACATGGTTAGTTTTTCTCCTGCAGCCTCAGGGTGGGTCCTGCTTCACCTAGGGTATGCAGCAAGGGTTGGGGGTATCAACATGTTCTTCCTTCACACCCCTTTGTTAATATTTTTGGGTTGCCAAATGTAAAAATAACTATTTTACATTGCCCCATGCTTTAAATACATTTTTAATCAACCCCCTGGTGCCCGGCTCACACTCAGCCTCTGGACACGGCCCTCGAGAGGCAGCTGCTGGACTGGCCTCGGGCCGTGACTGCGTTTTCTTACCCACGCCTTAACGGGCCGGCCGGCCGCTGTGGGTCCTCCTTTCTCCGACTTACAGCTCCGGCGTCTTGCTGGAATACCTGGAGGGCAGTTATTGTCTGGAAATTGAACATCAGAGCAAATTCATTTAATCTGAAAACTAATTTCCTCCTAAACTTTTATTATTCTGGAGCTTATTGGGCTCTGTTGAGATGGTTCAGGAGTGAGACGCAGCAACAATCCTTGCTGCTGTGATCCAGCCCAGCCCGTGCACAGCACCAGTCTGGAACCGCTGGTTTGGTCACCGCGAGCTGGCGCCTCCCAGCTGCCTCTGTGAGAAGGGACAACCAAGGCGAGAGTCCAGAAAGAGCACGAATGGTTGCTAGAAAGATTCCCAGTGACCTGCGTCCACTTCAGAATTGCGTGTGATGGCTCACAGTTCTTCCGAGTGGGAACCCGTGGCAGGAGGCCGCAGGCGGCAGGCCGGCACCGGTTCCAAGGCTCCCACAGGGCCTCGGGGCTGCTGTAACAGAGGATGGATCGTTCAGAAGGGCAGGGGACCGAGAGATGGGGGGCGGCACAGAAAGAGACCAAAGTGGTGTCTGCTCAGCACAGACTCCCCAGGAGGAGGGCCTCACTGTGTACAGCAAACGTGGACTTTTACAGCAAACCAACATTTTTAGAACTTAAGTCTGTGCCGTTCCTACCCACACAGGGATCTGCGTCCAGCATTAGGTGAAAGGCGAGCGGAGGCTGGGAAGTGACTATTCCCGTCCTCCGAAGGAGGGGTGCTGCGGTGTTTCTGCAGTGGAGACAACCGTGAGGCCGCTCAGACCCCTGGTGTGGCCCAACCTGGTCACTAGACCGAGCGCTTTGATTCTGTTCTCAGCCAGGCACGGTGAATGGTCGCTTCGCGCCTTTACCCGGGGTCTGCATGGATCTGCGCCGGCCTGGGCAGCCTTGGCCTGTGTGGGAGGGAGTTTCTGAGTGTGGGTTCTGGGACCCAGAGTGGCTCTTGCGTCTCCCATGGTCCCAGCTCCCCTGCCCGCTGCCCCCGTCCTGTTGGTGGGGCTGAAGCTGAACTCTGCATCCCGTGATGCACAGACGGAAATGACACCCTCCAGGGCGCTGTTTCAGTGGCTTCCTGGTATCTACAGGGGGTGTGATCAAAAATATGGTGAATACACTTATCTATTGCAGTAAAAGATGCATTGTTGTGCCTCCTCCTCAGCATGCTCCCTCTTGCTTCAAGCACATATATCCCATTGTTCTTCTTTTTTTTTTTTTTTAATTTTGAGTCAGGGTCTTTCGAAGTTTCTAAGCTGCCTCGGCTGAGCTTGAACTTGTGATCCCTCTGCCTCAGCTTCCCAAAATGCTGGGGTCACAGGTGTGCGCCACCACGCCCGGCACATTGCATTTTTTAGAAATGCTTTTTTTGTGGTATGGAAGTTTATTGATAGATTATTACTTATTTTGCCACCATCGGCCACAAGGTAACAGAAAGTTGTAGTGTAGAAATGATCACCCGCAGCAGTATTCTACCCTGAGTCCTCTGTCATCTGAAATGGGAATACATGTCAACAGGGAAAATGGAAGTTGTTAAACTTCTGTTTCTTGAGCATCTACTATGTTCCAGGCCCATTATACATTCTGCGTCATCTAATTCTTACATCACCTCTACAAATTATAAACCAGCTTCAGAGATGAAAAGACCAGAGCTTGCTCAGGGGTGTGCGGCGAGCAAGTGGTGACCTGGATTAAAACTCACTTCTGTCTTCAAGGCACGCACGCTTCGCGCCGACCCAGACGGTCCTGACCCAGCAAATCCTTGTGCATACGCATTTTTTCAGACTCAGAATTAAGTAATGCTTCTCTAAACGTCGTAGGAAATCCTCCCCGCAGCTGTCCGAGATGGGATCTCTGAGGAAGCCCCTGACTAGCACACCGTCCTCCTCTCTCTGCGAGACCAGAAACACAGTGAGACTTGGCGACTGCAAGCTGAGATGAAGCCGCAGTGACCATGGGCAAAAGGCCCAGTCGGAGGCTGAGCAGAAATGTGTGGCAGCCAGTGGGAGCACAGAAACCTTGCCAGCAGGGAGGAGCCTCGAGACGGCGCCGCCTCAGCCTCAGGACGAGCTTCGGCACTCAGGGTTGGAAGGCTTGGCGGCGCTGCTGGGTGTAGTCATCCCAGTGTGACGGGCGTGGCCACATTGGTGACACAAGTTTATTTCTCATGAGGTGCACAGAGACCGAGCAGGCAGGGGATGTTCTGGTCGCATGGGCACCACGGGGTCCGGTCTAAATCAGACCCCGCAGCCACCTCCCGCTGTCTGCTGCAGCTCTTCGAGGAAACGGCCCCTCCTCACTCCCCCTTAGGATGTGTGGGGCCAGCAGCTCCGCCCCTCCTGACTCAGCCTCTCCCAAACCAGCCCCATCCCCCATCTCTGGCAATGCCACTCTGCTGAGCAGCTTCCCAGACCCCACATCTGAGCAAGATCAGGCGGCACTCGTCTTTCTGGATCTGGCTTCTTTTACTTGAAATTATGATCTCCAGTTTCACAAATGACAGGGTTTCCCTTTTTGTGGCTGAATAGTATTCCATTGTGTGTATGGATATAGAGTTACCTAAGAAGACAGTTGGACAGGTTCTTATAAAATTAGACATCCACTTTCCTCTTGCGCCAGCAATGCTGCTCCTAGAGTTCTCTAAGAGAAATTGAAATGTCTGTTCATACAAAGGCCCAGGGCAGCCCTAGTCATAATTGTTCAGAAACTGGCTAATAAGAATACTGGGTGTGCTTCACACAGTGGAATATAACTCAGCCCTGAAAAAAACAAGCTGCTAAAATGAGAAGTTACATATACAAATCTCAAACTGTGGTTGCTTTTTCACCCAATCCAGAGATCTTGGTATAATTCCATTTCTGGGCAGCTCTAGAACAGACAGGACTCACCTCTGACAAAAGGAGGAAATCAGTAGCTCAGGTGCAAGGTGTCAGAACTCATCTACCCTGGAGTGAGTGGTTTCACCGCGGATAAGCTAGTCTCAGTGAAGTTGATTAAAATACATGTTATAAGTTATTTGCACTAAAGCGTTTACAAGCTTTGTTTACAAACAGAATTGGTAGCATCTTGCATTTAGTGAGCTTTACTGCAAGCTCAACAGGCATCTCAGGGTTTATAGCATAAACAGGCTTTTGTAAACTATAGTCTACAAAATCAAAGGTATCCAAAATTTCAAATTAACTTTTAAAAGCAACTTTGGAGCAGTCTGAAAAATTTTTAAACAATACTTTCTAGCCAAAGAGTGGTGGTGCACACCTGTAATCCTAGCGCTCTGGGAGGCTGAGGCAAGAGGATCAAGAGTTCAAGCCCCAGCTGGGCAAGTTCATGACCTAGTGAGACCTGTCTCAAAAAAAAAAAACAACCGAAAAAAACCCCCACATAATGAGAGGGCTGTGCTCAGTGTGAGGGCCCTGAGTTCAGTCCCCTGTACTTTAAAAACAAAACAACCCCAAAACCCTCGTAGCTTTCTCCTGAAAAGCACTGGTGCAGTAGTATTAGAGGCAGAGTCACCAAGCCCCCGACAGCGTGACTGCAGCTGGAATCATCGTTTCGGACGGCAGACAGGAGGTCACAGTCTCCGCCTCAGTTACCCCGCAGCACCTTGAGACCCAGATGGAGGCTTCTTGACATTCTTTCTTTTTTAGGTTTTCTTCCAGTACCAGAAATGGAACTCACGACTTCACGCTTGCCAGGCAGGTGCTGTGCCGCTGAGCTCCTTTCTCGACATTCTTAAACAATTTTATTTTTGAAAGTACATAGTTTTTGAGTAGAACTTTTAAAAATAAAACTCACCAGTATAATGACAATATGCTGCCCATCAGGATTTCAAGGTTCGCTGTGATTTTAGTTCCAGGCCCCCTTTCCTGCCGTGCACGGCCCACGTCCCTGCGGACCTCTGCCATCCCCCTCCCGCGTGCAGGCCTCGGGTGGGTCTCTGCCTCTGTATGGGTGAATCTATCGATCCACCTCTGCCCCTGGGAGCCAAGCCTGCACCCCGGACCCCAAGCCGCCCGCTCCTATCCTGTTTCTCTAAGTGCAGCTCTTCCTCCTCTCCTCCAAGTGCCCAGCTCTGGGACACATCTTGCAGGCCTCTTCTTTTTCTTTCTTCTTTTTCTTTTGTTGAGGCAGGGTCTCCCTGTGCAGTTCAGGCTGGCCTTGAACTCACTGCATAGCCCAGGCCGGCCTCATGCCCGCCTTTTCTATGTGAGGTTTGTGATCGCTGGTGAAATGAGCAGTTTTAATTTAGAAGTTCTGCAGCATAAGTTGGTTAAAATCTTCCCTTTTCACGCTTTCTGAACTCTCGTGTTTCCTTAAAGCGCTTTTGGTGTTCCGCAAAATGGAGGAGGAGGTTCTGGAGGCCCTGCCCGGGATGGATGTCCCCCCAGGACGCGGCTGAGGTCACCAGCAGTAAACACCAGCCCAAGCTCGGCCACGGGAAGACCCAGGGGTCCCCGGACGGAAGAAGGGACGCCATGCGTGGTGCAGGGTCCCATGGCACAATCCTCACTCCAGACACAAAGAAGATGGATGCACGGACTGCACCAGACCGAGGAGAGCAAGTGAGCTGCTGCCCCGCCGGCCCTGCCGCCCACCTGAGCCGCCACTCCAGAGGTGGCCCCGGGCATCTGCGACAGGGCAGACACACATAGCAGTCAAAGCTCCACTTGGGATCAGTGCGCTTGTCAGCTCGGCCCTGCCTGGATCTCCCTCGGCCGCGGCTGGCGAGCATGTGGGCAGCAGGGCACCGGGCAGCACTTGCTGGTCTTCAGATGCAGATCAGAAATAGTCGCAAGACAAAGGTGATGCAAAACCCTGTCAACAACACCACCTCCGCTGATGGCCCAGGACTCGGAGAGGTGTGGAGTCCCGAGGTGTGGGCTGGGTGGGGAAGCTTCTGAGGTGGTGGCTGGAGGCGGCTCGGAGGACAGGGCAGAGCGGCAGCCAAGGCCGCAGCCTGGACCAGCAGGGCCTGTGGTAGCCTGCGCACCCCGCCGCCTGCGGTCACCCAGGGCTGTGCTCGGGCGGGGAGGGTGTTTTCACCAGGCTGGACCCGCAGAGATGTGGGGCTGCACAGAGAGGGTGGAGTGCAGACACGGGGAGACCCCAGGGAAGCAGAGGCGGGAATCCAGAGGACTGCCTGCCAGGACCGAAGTCACGTAGGCCGAGCGCCTGTGAGCCCAAGAGGCTGAGGCAGGAAGATTGCAAGTCCAGCCCAGCCTGGGCACGGGAGCAATTTAAGGAGACTGGTCTCAAAATAAAGAAATAACAAGGTCTGCAATGCAGTCCTGTGGAAAGCCTGGGTTCAAGCCCAAGCACCACAGAAAGGGGTAAGGGAGGAAGATGAGGAGGAGGAGGAGAAGTGTGGTCCTGAGGGGGCTATGGTACAAGCACCTGGCGATGCCCCCGAATGTGGGTGGGAGGAGGCAGGCGTTAGATGCAGAGGGGCTCCTGGAGTCCCCTGAGGGAGAGATCTTCACGGAAGAACACTGCGCAACAGACCGGCCACTGGCCAGCACCTGTGAGGCACCACTGTCTCGGGGACCCCAGGGCCCAGTTTTCAGCTGTGCTTGGTTGTCGCGTCTCTTACTCCTGGCTTTGGTGGAGATGTGGGTGTCAGAAGAACTTGCACCGGTCTGCAGCCTTCCGCTCGCTGCCCTTTCTAGCTTTGTGTCCTCGTGAGGCACCTCTGAGTCTCAGGGCCTTTGCACGGGCCAGTCCCCTGTGAGAATTCCTGCATCGCAGGGCTTCAGATGCCTCCTCTTCCGATCCCACTAACGCCGGTTCCCTCTCTCCCTGCTTGCTGAGCCTCTGCTGACCCCGGGAGGACACGACCGGCTTGCAGAGCACAGGACCGGCTTGCAGTTTGGCAGGAGCCGAGCAGATGCCAAGACCCTCAGGCCCATGAGGGCCATTTAAGGTTTGCTTTTCTGAACTGGTTAAGACTGGGGGAAAATAGGACACCGAATGTGGTCGGCAGTGGGGCTGCCGAGAACGCCGAGCCCAAGCAAGCGTGCAAGCACCAGCATCTCAGCGCACGCCCTCTGCAGGTGTGTCAGGACTCGGGGCCAAAGCTGCACGTGTGCATCGAGGTTTCCGGTCTGGTTTTGCTCCGGGTGGTGCTGAGGGTTGAACCCAGGGCCACACATGAGGAGGCGCATCGCCCCTGAGCACACCATGCTCCAGAGCGAGCCTCTGACCGCGCAGGACACCAGCAGTGCACACCCAGGGTGACCGCGGCGGTGCGGGGTCGGTGCTGCTGGGACTCAGCCTGGAACACACCAGGTGCGGGCAGGAGCTCGTTCCCAGGTGCAGCTCCAACAGGTTCCAGAGCCGAAGGTCACGACACCCACAGCCTGCACCAGGGCAGCGGCCTGGACCTCAGGACACAGGGCTGGGCCTCGTGGAGCTCACCGCGGCCACCAGGCTCCAGAAGACACTCAGCTGGGCTGTGTCTCCTCGGAGGACACGGCGACCCTGGGAAACAGCACAGCTGAGATCTCCAGACCCCGCACCGGGACAAGGAGTGACGAGGTGGACTGTCCTGGGTGCTGGGTAGGACTCTTGCCGGAATTCCTTGGGATCGCCTCATCGAACCCTGGAGGGACTCTGGTTCCGGGCAGCAGCGCCCACGGCAGAGGGCGAGCCGCTTCCTCACCGGGTGGGCCGCACCTCTGTAGGAGCCCCAGTCATCACAGCTCCCCGAAGCTGCTTCCTGCTGACAGCTCTGGGTGCGGATGCAGCTGCTACCTGGCAGAGAGAGCCCAGAGCCAGCGCAGCATGCTTGGCAGTCACAGTCCCAGTGTCACTGCAGCCCGGAGCCAGGTGCGGGATGGGCGACCTGGTGCCCCACAGGCCCCTGCGGCGGGAGGCCTTGCTGGTCACGCACTCGGGACTGCGCCGTCCCACCAGGTCAGTGTGCTCCAGCCAGAGCTGCCCCACGGTGGAGCGGGGAGCTGCCCACCCAGGTCCTGGCCACTGCCTCCCTTCCTGTGCTGTGCTCAGCCCGGGCCCAGGCACAGGCCTGGCGCTCCACCCAGTGGGCTCAGGTCCCAGCCAGCTAACCCACTTCCAGTCGCCCTGCCCCTGGGAGAGCAAACAAGACGGGAAAAGGAGGAGTGGATGCACGGGCACCGTAGGATATCCAAGGAAGGCCGCCTGGGCGGTGGCTCGCTTTCGCAGACAGGCCTCCGTCGGGGCTGGCCCTGTCGTGGGAGGAAGAAACGCAACCGCATCCTCTCGGCTGGGAGCACGTGGGGCGGCCCCACAGACCCCAGGACACAGGAGCCATGGGTGCAGGCGGCCGGGTTCTTTCTGCTTCCCTGCCCTCCTCCCTCAGAGAACAGGACTCGTGGATGTGGTGTGTGATCTCAGGTACTCAGCAGGCAGAGGCAGGAGGGTCCCAAGCTGGAGCTAGCCTGAGCGACTTCACCTGACCCTTTCTCAAATTCCTTTTCTCAGAAAACCACCATCTTAAAGGGCAGGGAGCTGGCCCAGTGGCGCTTGCCTGGCATGTGAGGCTCTGGACTCCATCCCAGGGCCACAAGAGGGAAAAAAAGCAAGGCTCGGTCTCTCCAGCCTCACCCTTGTGCGCCTGGTGGCGATGTTTTCCTTGCGGAAGTTCCGGGTCCCCCATCCACACCCCTGGCTTCCAGGGCTCCGCTTCAGCGAGTTCGTGCTCTTTTCGTGCTCCGAGGCCCTTCAGGAATGAGCTCAATTATCAAACCCCCTGAGTCTGAAACCCGATCTGTCTTCTCAGGGTCCATGAAAGCGGTGGGTTTTGTCACTGTCACCCCAGAAACTGACGACCTCACCCCAGAGCGGCCGCAGCGCCCCCTGCCTGTGACCTGCCAGTATGTGTGGAAGCCCAGCGTCACCCCGTGTCCTAGGGGTTAAGATTTCACCGTGAACAGCACTCCTGATACCTGCCACGCACATTCCAAACAAACTATCCACAGACCGGTGCTTTTCAAAGTAATGATTTGAGCTAGAACAGCTCAAAAGCATAAGCAGATTAAAGACAGGCAATCTCGCACAGGGGCTGCTACCCGCCATGTCTCCTAACTACTCTTGTGTGTTTGGAAAACGCAAACACAAAACAGAAAGTGCTGAGACGACGAACTCTGGGGCAGCGTTGCACAGAGGTCCGCTCGGACTTCCAGACACACGGAGCTGCTCTGCGCCCAGAAGGTCCCCTCTGTCCGGCCCAGACACGCCAAGGAGCACGCCGTGCACTGCAGCGACCACGCTCCGGCCCCGACCACCCCCAGCTCATGCGGCAAGGCCATAAAAGAAAAGTGGACACACGAGCACTTTAAGAAAATTCAGCTCTAGTGAAGCGTAGTTTGCACACACTTACGTGCACGCGGGTTAATGATTCTGACAGATGACGCTGAGATGTGACGTGTGTCTGTCACTCCCAGTCTCCCACTGTCCCCACGGCCCGTCCCCTCCGTCCACCCACTTCCATCCCCACAGCCGCAGGTCTGCATTGTCCAGCGGACTGGAATTTCATCCACGGAGCCGTGTTGAATGCTGCTTGGGGTTGGGCTTCTTCCACTCAGCAAAATAGTCCCTAAAATTCAACCCGGCACCTTGCAGGCGGGAGCCACTGTGGGACAGTTCCCACAAGAGCAGCCTCGACTCCCACTTTATGATGGAAGTTAAGGGACTGGAGCGGCAGGGAACAGACTCAGAGGAGCATTTTCTCGGTCGATGTGTGTCTGGGTCAGCGACAGGGCGCCCCGCCACACTGTCCGGTCTCACAGGCATTGCAGCAGAGAGGTCAAGAATGTGACACTGGGGCTCAGACGGCCTTGCGTTGCAGTTCCTGAGTCGCAGCACCCCTGTGTGGCTGAGACAGCGTCCCCTCCCTCCTGGCCGTTATCTCCTCCACGGGGCAGGAGGTGACCTGGGCATCGAAGCCGGGCAGGGCGGGGCTGCCAGCTCCGGGATGAGGGGTGAAGCTTCCCCGCTTTGGGTCAGGCTCTGCACCTCCTTATTCCCTTTCACCACATCTTCACCCCATTCTGCTGAACCAGAAACTGAACCCCAGACAGGGGCAGGTGGAGGCAAGCACAGCGAGGTGCCGGGTCTGGCTGGAAGCCACAGCCGACCGCTCAGCCGCCGTGGGGACCTGGATGCACTGCCAACTCAGCGCTCCCGGCCACACCAGCCTCAGTCTGGTCTTGAGCTGCATGCCTGACGGATCCAGAGCTCTCTGGGGCGCAGCTGACACCGATTCCAGCGCACTGCCCACCGCAGTGCCTCCCCAGCTGGGAAGCATGGCGGCCTCGGTGCTGTCCTCCCAGGGCGGACACAGTGTGTGGCCTTGGTCAGGGGAGCCCAGTGGGAGGGAGGGAGTGGGCACCGAAAGGAGCATAGCTGCTCCCAGTGGGGGTGTGGGTCCTGCTGCCTGCACACACACATGCATGCACGCGCACACACACAGGCACACACACACGTGAGTGGCCTGACCTGATGCACCAGTGAAGTAAAATGTGACGACGTCAGTATTAGTCACTTTCCCGTTACTGCGAGGGGTTCTGGGAGGCAGGTCACCTTATAAAGAGAAGAGGTTTACTTGGATGGAAGTCCTGGGGGTCCTAGTGAGGACCTCTGGTGGGGTGCATGTCGGAGAAGAGTCCTAGGCCAGGTAGGGGCCCAGAAAGAGGAGCCAGGCTTGTACCCCACTCCTCAATGCCATCCCTGAGCACCAGGCCTCTGACAGGAGGACCCCGGAGAGAAGCTGCCCCGCCCAGCAGTTTCCTGCGGGAGGGGGATGGCCACACGGCCTTTCTACAGCCGCCCCTCCAGGTCCACGCAGTCCTTATTGAACAGTGTGGGCAGAGGTCTGGGGTCACTTGGTCTACACAGTGAGTGTGTGTGTGTGTGTGTGTGTGTGTGTGTGTGTGTGTGTGTGTGAGCTGACTCACCAGCAAGTCACTTAGAAGTTCAACACGTGGAAAAGCTTTCCCTTAATTAAAGCGGCAGCGCGTCTGCATGTGGCCATCTCCGTGCCATGAGGTCACTCCCTCAGCTCCACGGTGCTGGCTTGGCTTGTTTCTCACGTGCTTATGAAGTTAGGAGTAGCTCCTTGGACGACGACTTTCCTGGGTGTCTTCCTTCCCAGATTAATTCTGGGGATAAAACAACAGCACATTTATCAGCTTGTGGTCACCAGGAATAGATCGGGGACCTGGAGTGACCAGGAGTCCTGCAGAGTCTTCAGGGGACAATTGAGAAGGAGGTGGGAGGGAAGCGGGGGGCCACTATTCAATAGATGTGGGATTCTGGTCCCACAAAATGACTAAGGCTAGAGATTTGGGGTACAGCATCACGCTTGTAGGTCACGGTGCCCTCTCCAATTAATTTGTTAAGTTTTTAAGAAGGAAGGGAAGAATGGCGGGATGGAAAGGAGGAGGGAAGGAGGGGGTGGGGAGGAATGGGGGAAGGGCGGGGGAGGGGGGAGGAGGTTCTTCAGGAAGTGCTGCGTCCTCTGGAGGCCCTGGCCGGAGCTCTTTCTTGCTATAAAGAAGGGCTCCCAGTTGGGCCACAGACTCACCCTTTCCAGCACGCGGGGTGCGGGGGGTGTCGGGAGAGCTTGGAGCCCAACCTCCTCTTTCTGGGGAAGAAAAGAGAAATTACTTGCCCATGTCATGAGGCCTGGGAACAGCACCATTAAGTCTGGTCTTCTTAATCTCAGGAGTGTCAACAAAAATACTCTATCTTTAAAATGTATTTATTTAATTTTTAAAAATTTCAAACTTACAGAAAAGCAGGATGGGTCAGCACCAAGCGTGGCACATCCTCAGCACACAGCCCAGGGTTTTTAAGACCTGCCGCGCAGCTCTGTGCCTGTCCCGGTCTCCCGTCTCTCTCAACCAGAGTCAGCGGGAAGAGCCACCTGGGGTTCCTTCGCTCCTTATGTCTCCGCCCTCACGGGCAGCAGGACGTAGGTCTGACACACCGGACTGTATCTGAAAGCTAGCCTGCACCACCCTTCCCTCTGTCAGTTATGAGACTGATGGGACAGAAAGCCAGGCACACTGGCTTCTGTTTTAGGGTTTGTTTGGTCCCTCTGATGTAAGTTTATTTTTGGAATATGTAAAACATTTACACGGTATAAAAACCAAAGCAATACCAACAGGTAGCTGTAAAGAGGTTGGAGTCCCGCCCCCGTAAGTAGCCATCTTCACCTGCTTCCATTTATCCTTCTTGTATTCCTTTTTAGAAAAAGAAGCAAATACGCATCGTTGTTCCCATTCTCTCTTTTCTGCACACAAAAGGTAGCAGCACAGGTAAGTGCTGAGGCTCAGTTTCCCTTCACTGGACAACCTGCCCTGGCGCTCCCATCCTGCTCCTCCTCCTCGGAGTGCTCTGTGCAGATGACCCATCCCCATACCCTCTGTCCTCTCCAGGAGGACGTCAGCCAGTTCCAAACTTTCCTTGTTCAATGATGCTCCGTGAGCAGAGGACTCTTCTCTGCATTTGCTGTGTCTCACTGCAGAATTAAAGAACTGCCTAACACAAGAACAGATGCAATCGCCTCGCATTCTAACCCCGCCTGTATCTCCGAAGGAAACGCTGGACGGTGGGGTGGTCAGCAGGGCCCAGGGCTACCTGTCGCCGGTCCGGAAGGCAGCAGCGGGCTGCTTCCGACTGCTGCCGACGCCGATGTCCGCAGAGGCCAAGTCGCGTGCGCAGGTCTCCGAGTGGCAGGGACAGGCCTGTCTTCAGTCTGGGCACCGCTCACTCCGTGTGGGTGGATTCAGCGGAGGGCTTGGAGCACAGCAAACTCGCACTGCCCTTCTCTCCAGAATTCTTTCTCCTGTTTTCTGGATTGGTTGGAGCTCCTGGTGCAGGCGCAAGGCTGCAGGCCAGGCAGTGTCAGGAGGGGCACTCTCAGGGCGGCACCTGGATTTCTGCTCCGAGGGACATGTGTGTGGGGGGCAGAGTGCAAGGTGTGAGCGTCCTGACTTTTCCCTTTGAGACCTCAACTCTGCTCACTTTTTACATTTATAATTAGGGAAATATTTTGTTTTAAAGAACAGTGGGAAGCTCTGTTTGTGGGGCTAAAGCAGTCAGAAAAGGCAAATGGGAGGGGGCCTCGCTCACCTCGTGGGACCCACTGGACCCAACCCGGGACGGGCAGACCCTGAGCACCAGGCAGCACTGCCCGTGGAGACCGCAGTGGACAGACCCTGAGCACCAGGCAGCACTGCCCGTGGAGACCGCGGCAAGTCTGCAGTTCCGCGGTCCCGAACCCCAGATGACACCCAGCACCAGAGTGCTCCACTCGAGTTGGGCTGGCACTGGTGCCGGGACCCTGAGCTGGTAACCACAGCATGCGCCCTGGCTTGGCAGGGAGCGGGCGCTTGGGCCGAGCAAGCCGTCACTTACCAGGGCCCTCGTGGGGCACTGCTGCTGTCACCATCAAGGAGATGAGGAACTCGGGGATTTGGGAGCTGCTGTAATTTGTTCCTGGTCAGCACAAGCCTGTGGCAAAAGCAGTCACAGCTGTGGTATGTGAGTGTGTGTGTGTGTAGCTGTGCATTTGCACACTCTCCCCTTCGCTCGCTTCCTCATCTCTCTGGCACCTTCCCCCTCCAAAGTCTCCCACGCAGTCCAGGCTGTCCCTGGATGGATGCCTCGGAGCTGCTGCGGGCCACAGCAGGTGGGAGCCCTCGCCTGGGGCAAATGCAGAGGAGCACAGAGCTCCGCTCCTCTGCTGCAGTTTCCTCACATCCCGTTCCTTCTCTTAGAAAAATACCTGAGTTTGTGGTCTGGGATGAGAGTTTTGCTCCACTTCCGATAAGAATAAACCACCCAGGATTGAAATCCACCTAGGACTGAAAACCCCGCTGGCAGCCGGGTGAGCTCCTGGGAAGGCTTTGACTGGCTTCGGCCTCTCTCCGACCTTTCAAACAGACTGATTTATGAGGCGAATTTGCCATTGACGGTTGGAAAAATCAACAGCAGCTCTGTTGTGTGTGGCAGAGGGGAGGCTGCTGTTTGAATGGAGCTCGGAAAGTGGGATGGCAATCCGGGTCCCCCGCACCTCACACAGTGCCCTCGGACGCGCCCCATCCCACGGTCCCGTGTGTGGGCCCCAGAGTTGGATGGCTGCAGTTCTCCCGCCTGCTGGGGAGAAGCACTCCGGGGGCAAACAGCAGTCTCTGCTTTTCTCTCCCCACGGTGTCTGGAAGCTGCTGTAGGATTTTCCATGGGAGGATTTCTTTCTCTCTTAGCACAGAAGGGGTCTGGTCTTTCCCTCTGTTCTCCTTTTTCACGTGGTTCTGGGGCACCTGATGGTTCTGGCCATTGCCCGAGAGGCGGCAGAGCCGGGGGCGGTGGGGTGGGAGCTTCCCTCCCTGGCTCGGGAGGGAGTCTGGTGTAGGGCGGCACGGAGCTGCGTGGCACAGCTGCCCTTGGGTGACGGGACCGATGCGCAGTGACATTTCCCTTGCCCGTCCTCCTTGTGGGATGCAGGACACGGTTCAGACCGCAGAGCCATTTATAGACAATGCCTGGAAACACAGGAAGTGCTTCCTGGCCGGGCGGCGCAGCCCACGGTCTGCTGCAGTCCCTCTGCCCGGCCCACAGGCGCCGCGCCTTCCGGGCGCCTCGCAGGTACCAGTCGGTGCCGATCACGCTGTGCTGCCTGTGCTTGTTCATGCAGCTGCTGGGTGGCCTCACACAGCCTCGTGCACAGGGCAGGCGTGCACCTCGCCCTCCCGGGGCCGCAAGTCCACGGGAGCGCGGATGGGGCACGCGTGAAGCACGGATGTGTTCCTAGGAACTGCGACAAGTGCTGCAAAGCAGAAGACCAGGCTGAGAGGACCAAAGGGCAGCCTGAGACACGGGGGGAGCACACCCTAAGAAAGTGACACGGAGCTGCGCCCTGTGAGGGAGAAGGCCGCGGGAGGACAGGGAGCAGGGCTGTGCAGTTGGGCTGAAGGCCGGGGGTGGGGGGCACAGCGCAGGCGGACATCGGCAGAGCCACCGGCCTGACTTAGATGCAGCCCAGGCCTGGGCAAGCCGGGTGTGACGTCTCTGCCCTATGTTCTCAGAGCGCATCATCCCCAACCATGTGTGTCACACACTGGCATGGCGCGGTGTGTGCCCCACAGGTATCCCCGAGTGTGCCCCTGTCATCACTCGCTCCTCCGCAACGTGACTTAGCAGCTTCATGCAGTTCCCAGTGCGGATGCCTCCTACCTCAGCCCCTCTCCCACTAGGCACGTGAATCTAACAGTTAAATAACTTCGGAGCTGCAAACACCACACTTAACTCCATCTTAAATAACGCGAACATGGGGAGAACTCACTGGGCATTAAGCTTCGCACACGGGGCGCTGGCAGCTTCCTCAGGGAGGGTTGGGATGGAGTTGTGGGCCGGGGGCAGGCGCACTTCGTGACAGGGCGGAGGGCCCAGGCGTTGGCCTGGGATTCCATGAGGCGCTCCATGAGTGCAGGAGTTGCCACTCCAACAGGGCCTGTGTCCACATGGGTGGATCAGGCTGCAACAGGGACAGGAGGCCGCTCAGGCCCCAGCTGGGCTCTGGGGTCAGCCTCTCTGGAGATGGTCTGCAGCTCAGGATCAAGGGCAGTGTGGTGCCTGCTTAACTGGCTTGGTGCAAAGACGAGGGGGAACTGTGTGTCTGTCCAGAGCAGGCGTATAAGGGATATTCATTCCCACCTTCTGGCCTCTGGGGGAAGGGTTTGCCCTGCAGTCCAGTTCTGCAGGCTGCTGTGCAGTCTGGACACGTTGCGCACACCCTCGGAGCCTGAGGTCCCTGCTGTGGCCGGGTAATAACACCACCTCTGTGTGGCCCTGCCAGGTGGGGATAAACACAAGCCAGGGCACTCACCCTCTGCCAAGCCAGATGGCACTCGCTGAGCCCGGACCTCTCAACTGCTTCCCAAGCAGCAAGTAGCTCAGCTGCACACAGAACTCCCCAGGTTAATGGAGAGAGAGACACTGCTTTTAGGGGTCACCCTGGCTTCTATTCCTGCAATGATCAACGTCTCCTCCCCGTTCCTGTGGCCCTGATTCCTGAGAAGGTAGGAAACATAAGCACTCAGGATGCCCACGACCGCCTGGCCCAGTAGGTGATGAGAGTGACCACTCTGAGTCGGTGTCCTGGTCCTCTGCTAGAGCCTGGGGTGACCAGGCATCCCAAGTAGAGCTCACTGTGGAGCACAGCATGGGCAGGGAACGTGGGGCGGAAAAGGGCTGGGTGTCAGGATGGCCTGGGAGGACCAAGAGTGGCAAAGTCAGAACTCACGTGAGGCTTGGGGATTTTCTAACTGTTATTTTATCCTCCTTCCTTCTGGAACACTGTTCCACCACCCTTGAAGTCCAGGCCAAGTCTCCAGGGGTCCGGTGCAGACCACACTGGCACAGGGCTCCTCACCGAGGGCTGTGTTGTGCCGGCCCGATCCATCAGTGCCACTGGAGCCTGAGCCTTGGGCTCCCCTTTCCTTCTGGGCTTTGGTTTGGTTTGTGTTTGCTCCTTCGTGCTCCTGTCCAAGCTGCTGGAAGTTTCCATGGGCAAGGCCTTCAAGTCTTCCCACACAGACGTGCCCTTTCCTGCTGGCTGGCTGGGTCCTGGGGTTCTGGGGCAGCCCTGAGCCTGGATGGAGAAGGG